TTATAACCACCGATAACAACCAGGTCCAGTGAGTCGCCAACATTTGACAAATAATCCTTCTTCAATTTGAGCCAATTTCTTGATCGTTTTGCTATTTCATAGGTTGCCTCTTCGTCCAATGTTTTGACCATTAGACCCTCGCAGTTGCCTTTAATGGATTCCTCTAGGAATTGCTGCACCTCATCCATGTCGGTCGTATCGAGGGCTGTGGCAAATTGCCACTCGCCTTCGACCTCTTGAAAGTGTTCCATCAGAATCTTGCGACGCTCAGACAGCGGCTTTGTCACAAGCGAAACTCCATTGAAATACAGTAGATCGAAAATGTAAACGCACACTTGCACTTTAATGTCAGCGATATCGACATTTTTACGCTTGCGCGTCGTTAGTATTTGGAAGGGAAGAATTTGCTTGCGTTCGATATCCCAGGCGACAATCTCGCTGTCAAGTATATATGTCTCAACGTTGCCTTTCACCAATGATTTGCTTCTAGCAATTAGATCTGGATACTTGGGCGTATTGTTTTCCGAATTTCGCGAGAAAATACTAATTTCGCCATCTTTATTCAAATGGATTTGGGCTCGTTCGCCATCGTATTTCCATTCACAAGTTATTTGCATGCCACTAAAGCGTTCCAGCACTTCCGAAACACCTTTCGTTGGCTGTGCGAGCATAGGTCTAAGTGGCATGCCGGGATGCATTGGACAACGATCTTGAAGTTCCTTAATGTCATATTTCAATAATGCGGGTATGACGATGTCGTAGTTTGGACATTGGCTGGTAAAATATAAATTGTATATATTAAAATATTATTAAGTAAAAAGTAAAACAATTTAAATAATCTATAAGCAAGCATGCTATAGAGATTTATAACCACATAATTAGTGGTTTTCATTTGAAAAGTGTTACCTATATGTTGTTTTAAGTATCAATGTTGCATCCGCTATTTCGTCTTTGTAAATGTCACAAACTTTGTGGGCTTTGCAATCGTTGATATGGTTGCGTTTGACAAGCGCTATTGCTAGAGCCGTGAGCAGACTCTGTTCGGCAATGCCAATGCGTAATTTGCCAATTAGGGAACGTATAAAAAAGCGCGCTTCGGCATGTCGACAGGCAACGAACACATCGTAGATGAGGGTTATTTTCGCCTGTCCCGAAATGTTGGCAATCTCCTTCAGTTTGGCGAACACGCCGCGCACATTTAACGGCTTTGGACGAAACATCATGCGTTGCGACACGCGCGATTGCTCAGCGACAATGCCCAGATCACCAGTTAATTGAGTTTGGGATTTGATGTGCGCCAAATTGCGTCCGGTTGCCTTGCAGATTGCTTTCATAAGTGTCGTTTCGGCGACGCCCAGTTCGAGTCCCTCGTATGCGGGCGCTAGCTGGTTAATACTTAGGTAAACGCTCGGCAATAAGTCGTCCGGACTAACCAGCATTACGGAGCAAAAGAAATTACTCAATATATCAATCATTTTCAGTCGGCCTTTAGTCTCCTCAATAACTTGAAAAGTACGGGCCAGGGCCAAGTAGGGCGTGCTAAAGAAATAAATATAGATCTAATTTAATGTGCATAATATTTACATATATATATTTCCACATTCATTTATAAAACTCTATCTCAACTTACGTGCGCTGCGCTTTCCAATAGGCATCATTAATGGGATGATAGGTTTCCACCGACGGATCGTAGGCCTCACTTGCTTCGCCTTCAGGCAACCCAGAGTTTAATTCCATTTTCCTTACCTTAACAGGCGATGGCGTCTCAAGCTCCATCTTTTCCTCAGCATCAACCGTGGGCAGCGTATTTTCATCTCTCTCGGCCTTTATGGTTTTCACAGGAGTTGGTACCTTCGGCTTTTCCTCAAAGCCTGCACTTTTAGTTTCCTTCTTACTGTAATATTGAATACATATTGTTTACATTTATTTTTTCCATTAAATTGTGTACTTACCGTACATCCTCCGCGTATTTAGAGATTTGACTATCATCTTTTGGTTTAAAAAATGAGCTAGATTAAACAAAAAGACAGAAATTTTAGGCAATGCCATATATAATTCGTTTGTTTATATTTACGTTATCGACTT